TCCGCGAATCGCCCGCGTATCTCTGTGGTCCCAGGTGGGCGCCCGCGCGCGGGGAATCGCGCGCTCGTGCAGTTGGAAGGGTGGAGTCGCGCCTCGCGCGCCCTGGAATGCCTGCCGGCCATCGCTGACGCCGTGGCCCGGGTTGCGACATAGTGCTGGCGCGGGGCGGATCGGCGTTGGGTGGCCACGTGGGTCGAGATCCAGGAGCTTAGCTTCCCAGAAGACGGCGGACCCCGAAGGTCCAGGACCCCTGCCAGACAGCGACGACGAGGATGCGCAAGAGACGCGCCCGCGCGGAACTTCCGGGGCCCCAGGAAAGAGGCCCATCTTCAGACTTCGCGTTGCTATGGGGCAGTCGTGTAACGGAAGTTTTCGGGGTCTCGCGTGCTGGGGGCGTCGAGATGCACTTGCTGGTTTGGGTCTGGGACCTTTCTCGATGTTCGGGGCGTGCCGGACTTTCTCGTGCGAGCTCTCATCGCGGGGTAGCTCTTCCCCGCGCGATTCGTCGTAACCATATTGTCGGTGTTGACTTGTTCTACCTTGCCTGCGAGGAGAGCGCAGTGCCCTTCCTCGACGTGGTTAGCCGCGGGTCCAATCTCCAGGTGTGCGTCGGGGTCGTCGAAGAACCGCGGTCGTCGCCGGCGTGGCAGGCCTTCGTCCGCGCTTGGGTCGGGCCCTTCAGAGCACCCCCTTTCGGTCCCTGGGGCGGCGGCCCGGAGTGCGACCGCCGTTTCGCCCGAGGTTTCGAGCGGCAGGGGCTGCCGCGCCATGTCTGCGAAGCCAGCTCGCCGTCTCATCGGAAGGAAAAATGGGGGATCGAAACCGGCCCATCCACCCCGGGGGACATCCAGGAGCTACTGGGCCTGATGTACGAACTATCCGCGCATGAGAATGGGTTCTTGGCGCCGTGGAGGACTCTCGCCCATGCAGTTCGTCTTCGGAAAACCACCGCCCTCCCCGCGAGATCTCGTCCGATTGTCGTCTGGGGCTGCCAGGGTGACAAAACTGTCGCACCGGCCTCGGAACAGGGCTCTGCAAGGGCAGAGTTTGCTCGGGCCGACCGCTTCCAAGAGAGGCCGGGAAGTTAGCGATGGGCTGCTGCCCGGGATGAGATTCCGCGGGCGAGTATGTCTTGGGGCCCAGGCGCTGCGGCTTTCAGCCCAGGCCACTGGGGCTTTGCGCGGCGCGGGAGGACTGGGGCGGGGTCTAGAGCGGACAAGTTGGGAAGGAGACGGGGCGCATGGGCCGGGCGGGGCGTTGTTTGTCCTCTGCGAACGAGGAAAAGTGTCGCCGTCCGGGCCGGGCTGAGGAAGTGCTCTCCGGAGCAGGTTCGACTCGCCAGCCCGAGCGAGGGGCCCGGTCTGCAGATTGCGCGGGATCCCCGCTGGAGCTGGCGTCCCAGGCTCATGCCTGGAGGGCGTCTGCCGGCGGACGTTCGGCGCGAAGGGCCCCCCCCGACGAGGCCGGGGACCGAGCTCCGTCGCTGGAGCCGGCTTTGGCCCCCCAAGTTCCTGCGAGCGTTGCCAGGGCGAGAGAGGCTCCGTCGGCAGGGCCAGGGGGCCCTCCCGCGGAGAGCCGAGGCCCCGACCCCATCAGACGGGCCCCTTCCCCTGGGGCGCTAGGCATCAGGCGGGCGCTGTCATCGGCTGGAATGCTTTCGATATTGGGGGGCGACGAAGGAGGAGGAGCGGCGTCAATAAGGCAAGTCGCGCCTAGCGTTTCGGAAGATGCTGGTCTAACCGATGGGGCCAGGAAGAGAAGGCCAGGAGTCTTTTCGGCCCTCGCCTCGTCCCGACGCCCTGTCTCCCTCTCACCTCCCGCGGCAATCTGCCCAGGTCGGCCGGCGCGCGTCTCGGACAGATTCGCGTGAGAGCAGCCGTCAGATGTTCCGGCTTGCGTCGGAGCTAGGGCTGGCAGTTGCCCCCCGAGATTCGATCGAGGCCGAGCGGCCCTGGATCGACCCCCCCAGTCTTGTCCGGTCAGGGTCACGAGTCGAACACGAGCGCTTCGTCTGGAGGCGCCTGGGGCACTTCTGCAGCAGGTGCCGCTCCCGACGCGGGAGGGGCCAGGAGCGGCGTCGGGCGCGGACGCAGGCTGGGCGACCTCCTGGGCCAGAGGGTCCAGAATATCGAGACTCGAGCCTCCTCTTCCCCCCCCCCTCAGCTTCTCTTTTCGTCGAGACAGGCAATAGTGGGCCAGGTGCTTGTCTCGTGGGGGGGGGGGGTCCTTGCTGCTGGCCGAGGGGAGGGGTCAGCCTGGGCGAGTTCACTGCGGCTGAAAGAAGAAAGTTCGAGGTTGTCGATGACGAAGAATGGAAGAGCACGATGGGCTCGGGGGCCGCGGATGCAATCGGGCCCAAAGACGCCGCCGTGATGCGCATCAGTTGCCCTGGGCGGGGCACCGCGCCCCCGATGGCGCGGGGGTGGGGGCCAGCAGAGGGCGTGCTCTCGGAGCCCGCTGCGATGTCCGCGCGGTGCGTTCGCGGGCATGAAGACCTGGGCGCTGGCTCTATGTTCGTCTGCTCTCCGACCCCCCGGCCTTCCCCCAGTCGCGTGTTCATCCAAGGCGTGATAAATGTAGGACTGAAAGGAAATATTGCTGACGTCGAGGATGCTTCCTGTCAGTCGGGCCCCGTGCGGCGCTCGCGAGGGGAAATGCGTTCAGCCGCGCGAAGGTACAAAGGGCGAGAAAGGATCCCTGATCATATTGCTCGTCAGCGTGCGCGGGTGGCACGATGCCCCCCCTGCCCGGGGAAAAACCATCGAACTATTTGAAGGGTCGAGGATTTTCCCGGAATTTGCCCGAAACATGTTGGCGGGCCCGGCGTGGTGATTCTGCTTGAAGTCGACGTCTTCATAGCCAGCTCTTCGGGGGAATCTAGGATCTGGATCAACGAGACTCCCAGTGGAAGGCTCTGGTTCAGGAAATGCCGAGACCGCCGCCAGGCCCAAGTGGAATATGCCGGCCGTAGCGTGCATGTCAGAGGAAGACATATGGGAGTCAGTGAGGGCCAGTCCCATGGCCAAGGGTAGGTTCGACGTCGAGACCTCCGAGCTCCGGCACGGCGAGTTCAAGTCCCTCAGGTCTTTGGTGCGAGAATTAGATTGGGCGGGGTGGGGTGGGGGGGCGGCCCGGGGCGCCTGTAACTGCCGGCGCATCAGCGAGTCGCCTGAAGGCCCCCAACGCAGGAGACGTGGCTTGCCCGAACAGGACGGTCCGTCACCTCGAGGCGACGGCCTCGCGAGGGCTCGCGACTTGGGAGTTGGGCTCCGCGCGCGCGGCGTTCGTTCCCGTCTCGGACGCCGGGGGGGCGGGTGCCAGCGAGGACCAGGTTGACGAAAGAGGTCTTCCTGAAGACCCGGCGCAGGGCGCCTCAGTGATTCCCGCGGTGGATAAGAGCGCGATAGATGAGCGTGCTGTCAAACCCTCCGTGTTGGCTCGGCGTAGTTCGATGTGGCGGCGGAAGGTGTCTTCCGCCCTCGCGGGGGAGACGCAAGCGCTCTCGGCGGCAGTGGCGGACGTCGAGTTCTGTTGCGCAAATATGTTGTTTTCAAGGACGTGGGCGTTTCTATGCCGGGGCCCAGGTCTTTCGCCGCTCTTTTTAGGAAGGGCTGTAGGTTGGGCAGCTGTGAGCATCAGGTTTACATCGTAGGCGCCATACAAAATTATACGACACCGTGCTTAGAGAGGGGGGCGCCAGTGCACGCATTCGGAGGACGGCATTGGATTAGCTGTGGCGCGGGGTGCGGGTGGGTTTTGAGAACGCTCGTGGCCACGTCAGGTGGGCACCGCATGGTAGAGTGCCAGTGGGGAGATGATGTCAGTAAATGGAATGCTGCTCTATCCAACCTGCTCGCCAACCTGCTCACGCACGGTCGAATCGCGTTGATGGGCGAAAGATGGCGAGATCTCCTGGTGTCGAGACAGGCCGGGCGCCAAAAACCGCTCACAAACAGCATCCCGATGGACATTTGGAACAGGACGAACGGCTTGTCTCCTGGATCGGTCTCCGCGAAACGGGTAACTCAGCTGCTGGGCCTGGTCCGAGTCAAGAGTCTGTGTTCGGGTATCCTCTCTGTCCCTCATTGTTTCCTTCGATGTGCGGTGTTGTGTCTGATTTGCCGTAAAGGTATTGTCGCTTGGGATGTGAAACCGAAGAGAAGGTCAGACCCACGTGGCGGGGGTCCTACTTTCGCGGGATAGGTTTAGCAGTTACTTCGTATTTATGACGACGCGAGTCGTCCGAGTCAATTGTTCAAGAGAGGCAGGGTCGGCGCCGTTGATCGTGACACTTTGGCTCGAGGCAAAAAGGGTTTCGCTCATCGTGCTGCTGCCACACGGCAGCAGCATCTCGCCGAGAACGTTCCGGGTGTGCTTGGATCGTCCCGAGACGAGTTATGACCCCAAAGCCAGATAGCGACGTTAGGGGGGGAATGGGCTCATGGGAGGAAACGCATCGGATCCCGATCGCCCAATCATCGCCGATGGGGGCCTAGGAGCGTTCGTATCTGCAACCAGGCTCTTGCCGCCGATTTATCGGCGATGCATCGCCGATTCCAGGTCAATGTTCTTCTCCCCCCGAGCCGGTTCCTCATGATGTCGCCGTGCCGTCGCGCGTCCTGCGTCGAGGGCACGGTGTCGTCGCGCGCGCGCGCCGACGCCAAGGCTTGGGTGTGGCTAGAAGTAAGCCTGGGCCAAGGTGGCCCCAGTTCCCCAGCTTCCCCAAGGAGGCGCACCTGGCTTCCAGAACACCCCTCAAGAGACCCAGAGGGCCCAAGAGGCCCCAGAGTGGCGCGCAAAGCTGGGACCACCTTGGGCCAGGACCACTTCTGGCAACCCCCGACAGGTGAGCGACGTAAAACAACGGGATTTTCACCGACATTTCGCGCGTAAGATGCCTGCGCAAGGTCGCGCGTAAGCGCCCTCGTCTCCAATTTTGCGCGCCGCGCTGGCCGCCCATGTAAGCCACCGCGCGGGATCCGTTTGTTTTCGTCTCCCAGGTGGACCTCGAGCGCGAGGCGGGCTGCTACCCTGCCACATCGGCGGCCCTTGGCCTCTTCGCCGCGGTGCTGCGGTGCTGCGGCCCGGCGGAGCTGCTCGCGCTTCGCGGCGAGGCTTGGCGACGGCGGCGCTCCACGAGCGGCGAGCGGCGAGGGCGACGACGACGACGACGACGACGGCTGCGGCGGCGGCGGCGGCGGCGAGCGGCGGCGAGCGGCGAGCGGCGAGCGGCGGTACGCGCTGCCCTGCGAGGGCGGCAGCGGCAACGCGGCGTTCGGGCAGCTCCTCGACTTTTCGTTCGGCCTCTGCTTCGCGCGCTGCGGCTTCTGGGAGTTCCGGACGCGGGCGGACAGGCGCCCACCACGCAGAGGAGGGGGGGGTTCTCGGGCGGTCCAGGGCCAGGATGAGTCGCCACAGAGCGTTGCGCAACATTCTCGGAGCGGCCTCGGCGCCCGATGCAGCCGCCAGAGCCGCCGGATCTCAGAGATCCCCGACGTCGTCCAGGTCTGATTTTGCCCAGATCCTGGCTTTGTCTCGGAATCGAGGGAGACGAGTCGGATCGAGGTTCGAGGTTCGAGGTTCGTCTTCTTTAGTGGGGGGAGTCGCGGCCAGGTTCCTTCTCGAGATTCAGGTCAGAACGCATCCCGAGACAGGTTGTGTCTGGGGTGTGATTTTTTCAGGGTCGCCATGTAGGAAAGGGGGCCCGAGGGAAACGGGTCCTGAGGCTTTCCGCCGTCTTCGGCCTGCCGGGGTACTGGAAGGCCCAGGACCGTCAGGACCCGACTTTTGGTGCCAGTGGAAGCCTCCAGGTCCAGGGACAGGTTCGAAAACCATCCAAATGACACTCTTGCGGCAGAATGCCCTACGCAGCTTGCACAGTTACGATGGGAGACACGATGGGGGTTCACGATAGGGGCTACGATGGGGTGCCACGATGGGGGGATGGGGATCAAGGTAGGGATAGGGGTAGGGATAATTACGGATATAGGGCTTTGGGTAGAGGGCTAGGGATCGGGATGATGATGGGCATAGGGATAGGGATAGGGATGTATGATATAGGCAAATATAGGAGAGATAGGGATAGGGATAGGGGTTGTGATAGAGTTAACGTAGGGATCGTGGTGAGGAGGGGCATAGGGATAGGCAGTTGAAGACAAAGGGGGATACTGGGAGACAGTGGGAGACAACGGGAGACGATTGGAGACAATAGGGTGCAAGGGGAGGCAATGGTATAATATTGGCAGACAACGAAAGATAATGGGAGTCAAGTCGCCCGACCGTTTCAGGATCTGGCAGTGCAGAAGTAGTTTCTCAGAAGAGACAGGGGGGACATATATATATATATGTATATATATATATATATATATGCACATCGATCTATACATATACATATACACACATACGTGTATACATATATATATACATATACATGTATGAGTGTATATATGCATGCCCCCCCCACGCACCCCCAAACGGCGGGGTGAGGGGGAGGAGGGGTGGTTCCCCCTCAGCGTCCTTCTCTTCTTCCTCCTCCTCTTCATCCTTATGGTTCTTCCTCCCCCTGTCATGGAGGGCATCCTCTTCATCTTCATTCTCTTCCTTTCCCTGCTCCTCATCCTCCTCGTTCCTCCTCCCTCTCCTCCTCCTCATCTTCCTCTTTCTCCTCCTGCTCCTCCTCCTCCTCCCTCGCCTCCTCCTCCTCCTCCTCCTCCCCTCCTGCTCCTCCTCCTCCCCTCCTGCTCCTCCTCCGGAGGAGCAGGAGACGGACGAGGAGGAGGAGGAGGAGGAGGAGCAGGAGGAGGACGAGGACCTCCTCCTCCTTCTCCCCTCTCTCCGTCCTCTTTGCGATTTCAGAAAACAAACCAAACATACACAGTGCTTCCTTGAACCGAGAGCGTCAAACACTGTGCATGGTTTTTTGTTTGTGTGTGTTTTTTGGTCTGACGAGCAAGGAAACACTTTGTATGTTTGTTTGTTATGTTTTTTTTTGATTTGAAAACCCCAATGCTCGCAGGGGCCTCCCTCCCAGCAAACACTGGCGCTGGCAAAACACCCAATAAGTGTACACAGTGTTTCCTTGCTCCGAGAGCGCCAAACACTTTGTATGTTTGGTTGTTTGGGCTGTTTGGGTCTGAGGAGCAAGGAAACACTGTGTATGTTTGTTTGTGACAGCGCGCCACTGGATCACCCTTTAATTGAAAAGCGGGGTGGCGTGCTCGCAGAACCCCCCACCCTCCCCTTTTTCAAAGGGGGGGGGAGATTTTCGACCCCCACCCCCCTCCCTTAGGGGGGGGGGGGGGGGGTCCGAACCTCCCCCTCCCCCCCTCCTTGAAGGGGGGGGGGGTCCGGACCCGCCCCCCCCTCCCCCTCTTGGCGTTGGAAGCGGGGGGGGTTCGACCCCCCCCTCCTCCCCCCCTTTGCGCCGAACGGGGTGCCGGGGAGGGGGCCTCTCCCGCAAGGGGAGGGGGTCTGGCCTCGGGATAGTGGGTAGTGAATAGTGAGTAGAGAGTAGTGCGTAGTGAGTAGTGAGTAGTGAGTTGTGAATAGTGAGTAGTGAGTAGATAGTAGCGGGGAGTGAAGATTGAGTAGTGAGTAGTGAGTGGTGAGTAGTGAGTTGTGCGCAGTGAGTCGTGAGTAGTGAGAGGTGAGTAGTGAGTAGTGAGTTGTGCGTAGCGAGTAGGGAGTAGCAAGTAGTGCACAGTCAGTAGCGGGTAGGGCATTGTGAGTAGTGAGTAGTGAGGATGGAGTAGTCAGTAGTGAGTTGTGAGTAGCGAGTAGTGAGTAGCGAGTAGGGAGTAGCGAGTAGTGAGTTGTGAGTAGTGAGTTGTGAGTAGTGAGTAGTGCGTAGTCAGAGGTGAGAAGTGGGTAGTGAGTAGTGGGTAGTGCTTTGGGGGTAGCGATTAGAGAGTAGTGAGTAGTGAGTAATGAGTCGTGAGCTGTGAGTAGCGAGTATTGAGTAGTGAGTAGTGAGTAGAAATCGTGATCAGCGACTAGTGCGTAGGGAGTAGGCAAAAAACAGAGTAGTGAGTAGTGAGTAGTGCGTAGTGGGTAGTGAATACTGCGTATCCGGTAGCGAGTAGGGAGTAGCGAGTACTGAGTAGTGAGCAAGGAGTACTGTTTGAGGAGTAGGGAGTAGCGAGCAGCGAGCAGCGGATAGTGTGTAGTGAGTTGTGGGCAGTGAGGATTGAGTGGTGAATTGCAAGTATTCAGTGGTGAGTAGTGGGTAGTGGTTAGTGGGTAGTGAGTTTTCACTAATGAGTCGTGAGTAGTGGGTATTGAGGAGTGTTTAGTGAGTAGTGAGTATTGAGTAGGGTGTAGTCAGTAGTGAGTAGTGAGTTGGGAGTAGTGAGTAGTGCGTAGTGAGTAGTGAGTAGTGGGTACTGGGTAGTGAGTAGTGGGTAGTGAGTAGTTAATCGTGAGTTGTGAGCAGTGAGTAGTGAGCAGTGAGTAGTGAGTAGCGAGTAGTAAGTAGTGAGTAGTTGGTAGTGAACAGTGAGTACTGAGTGCTGTTTGGGGCTGGGGCTCGGGTTTGGGGTTAGGGTTACGGGTGGTCGGGGTGGTAGTGTTAGGGGTGGTAGGGGTCGGGTTCCGGAGCCAGGGGGCGCCGTGGTGAAAGGGAGGGAAGGGGGGGGGGTCGAACTTGGCGGCCAAAGGGGGGGGAGGGGGGGGGTCGGACACCCCCCGCCCCCTTTTGAAAGGGGGAAGGGGGGGGTGTCCCGACGACGGACCCGGAAAGGGGGGGAGGGGGGGGAAGGGTTCCCCCCCCCCCCCCCCCTCTTTGGGGAGATCCAGCGGTGCGCTTTTTTGTTTTGTTTTTTGTTTTTTGTTTTGTTTTTTCTTTTTAAGAAAAGATTCAAAGCCCCAATGCTCGCAAGGGCTTCCCTCCCAGCAAGCACTGGCGCTGTCAAAACAAAAATCAGAATAAACTAACATACGCAGCGTTCCCTTGCTCATCAGACCCCCCCAAAACACACAAAACATACACAGTGTTCGGCGCTGTCGGTGCAAGGAAACACTGTGTCTGTTTGGTTGTTTTGGTCTGGACAAAAAAACATCATACACAGTGTTTCCTTGCTCCCCAGACCAGAACAAACAAAAAACAAGTACACAGTGTCTCCTTGCTCCTCAGACCCAAACGTCCTAAACAACCAAACATACACAGTGTTTAACGCTCTCGGAGCAAGGAAACACCGTGTATGTTTTTTTTGGGGGTTTTGCCAGCGCCAGTGCTTGCTGCGAGAGAGGCCCCTGCGAGCATTGGGTTCTCAAAACAAAAAAAACATACAAACACAAACGTACACAGTGTTTCCTTGCTCGACAGACCAGCAACAACAAAGAAAAACAAACATGTACAGTGTTTGGCGCTCTCGGTTCAAGGAAACATGGTGTATGTTTGGTTTTCTTTTTGCTGAAGTCGCAAAGAGGGAGGAGCGGGAGGAGGAGGAGCAAACGATCATTGGTTACTGCTCTGCTTCTGGTTCTGGTTTGGTTATTCTAGTTCTGGTTCTGGTTCTGGTTTCGGTTGTTTTGGCGTTGGTTCTGGTTCTGGTTCTGGTACTGGTTCGCTTTGTGGTTTCATTGGTTTTGGGGGTGCTGGGGGGGGGGGGTGGGGGGGGCGATATATATATATATATATATATATATATAAAATATATATATATATGAGAGAGCGTGATCCACCGCCGCTTTACTGTGGAAAATTGCCAACCTTTTCCTCTGGGAGCCCGGGGTCGCCCCCCCCCCCCCCCCTCCGAAAATCCCCCCCCCCCCCCTGCTGGAACCCCTCCCCCCCCCACCCCCTCTCCCCCGGCAAAACCCCCCCCTCCCCTAACCCCTCCCCCCCCCCCCCCCCCCCTCCCGCTCGAAAACCGGGGGGTCACTACCGGTTCGAACCCCTCCCCCCTCCCCCCCCCCCCTCTGGATCCGGAAAACCGTGGGGGGTCACTACCGGTTCGGAGCCCCCCCCCCCCCCCCCCCCCCCCCCTATTCACCGCCAGCAAACGACTCCCGGTCCCCACCACCGTCCGCATCACATCCCCCACTGGTGTTCCCAGCACCACTGTCCTCACCACCGCTGTCCCCACTGGTTCCACCACCGCCCCTACTGTCCCCACCAGTGGCCCCACCACTGTCGCACTGTCCCCGCTGTCCCCAGAACTGTTCCCACCACGGTTCCACTCTCCCCACTGTCTCCACGGCCCCAACCACTGCCCGACTATCCCCACTGTCCCCACTGTCCCACTGACTCCTCCGCTGTCCCACTGAGCTGTCCCACTGTTCCCACCACTGTCCCCACTGTCCCCACCACTGTCCCCACTGTACCTCTGTCCCATTGTCCCACCGCCGTCCTCGCCACCGCCTTCACCACTGTCCCCACCACCATTGTACCCTCCACTGTCCCACTGTTTCCACCTCATTCCCATTGTCCCCACACCACTGTCCCCACCACCACCGTCACCACCACTGTCCACTGTCCCCCCCTGTTCCCACCATTGTCCCCACCACTGTCCCCACCACTACCGTCCCCACCACTGTCCCACTGTCCCACTGTCCCCACCACTGTCCCGCTATCCCCTCACCACTGTCCCCACCAACACCGTCCCCACCACTGTCCGCACCCCCACTCGGTTTTCGAGGGGGGGGGGTTCGAACCGGTAGTGACCCCCCCCGGTTTTCCGGATCCGGAGGGGGGGGGGAGGGGGGGGTTCGAACCGGTAGTGACCCCCCCCCTTTTCATGATGAGCAGGGGGGGGGGGGGGGGGGAGGGGTTCGAACCGGTAGTGACCCCCCCCGGTTTTCCGGAGGGGGGGGGGGAGGGGTTCGAACCGGTAGTGACCCCCCCCGGTTTTCCGCCAGCAGCGGTAGAACACGCTCTTTCTATATATATATATATATATATATATATATATATGTATATATATATATATATAATATATATATATATATAATATATATATATATATATATATATATATATATATATATATACAAGATTGCAGTGGCGTTTCGCGCCATGCACCTTGGCCCTTGAAGATTGGTATGCAGGCGGAAATGGCAGGAAGGTCAAGCGGACAATTTAGCAATTCCTTGCTGCCATTTCTGGCATCGCCATTCTAATAATGTTGTTCGTTGCCAATCATCCATGCTTATGTTTCCTCATTCTCGCCATACCCTGGGCATTCTCCCCATCCTCCTCAGCTCTTTTTGCGGAGGCTCCTCCTTGGAGAGCCTCTGGGAGCCTCACCAAAGTTCTCAGCCTTTCTCATAGCCTTCTGGAGGCCTCCTGGGTGTGTTCTGGGGTCCTCTGGGGCTTCCTAAGGCCAACCTGCCTCTAACCGCGGTCTCCCTGAACGCCCCGGTCACGATTTGGAATGCTTCGGAGGGTGTTTTGGGGCCATCTTGGGCCGCCATGGGGCTCTCTTACGGCCATTTTGGACCCCTGGTGTGCCGTTTTGGGGCTCTTGGACTGCTTGGAAGCCCTTTCGGATGGCTGTGGGGCGATTTTGGAGCCTCCCAGGCGACTTCGGACGCCCAGAAGACCGCTGTCTTGGAGCGTCGGGAAGCCGAAAAGAGGAGAACCCCAAATTCATCAAAAACCTACATTCAATCAATGATTTTTCCCTCTTGGGGCCTTCTTGGGGGTGCTCTTGGAGGCCTCTTGGTATGTTTTGGAGCGATCTTTCGGGGTACGACGGCTTCTTGGGGCGCTCTTGTGCTGCCTTAGGGTTCTCCAAGACGTCTCCCATGACCCCCCTGATCGCCCTAGGTGTGCTGCGAAGGCTTGGCAAAACGCCGTGCGAGGCCCGGGGGGCCGCTTCGAGGCCCGTCCGAAGGGTCCCAAAGCCCCAGATCCAGGGAGTCCGGTTCTTTTTTTTTGGGGGGGGTGACGGGTTTTCCCCCCGCGCAGGCTTGTAGAAATATAGGAAGAGGACTATGTGCATATATATATATATATATATATATATATATATATATATATATGTATGCATACGCATGTATGTATGTATGCATATATACATATATACATATATATATATGTGTGTTTATGCATAGTCAAGGGAATGATAAATAGGGGCATGCGTACATGTGTGTATACATACATATGTATATTAATTTTCTGATGCATGTATACATACGATTTGTAGGTATACGTGTATATTCCCATATACATGTATGTGCATGTATGTACATATGTATGTACAGTTTATACATGTTCACATATGTATATACATCTCGGGCCCTGGCAGGCTAGCTGTTCAGGGACAATTGAAGTCGCAAACTTTCGGAGATACGTTCGGAGTTTTGGCGTCAGCGCTGGACCCCTCCCCACCCCAGGTGCTGCCCCTCGAGCGCTCCGCGCGCCGGGGGAGGGATGTGGAGGTGGTTGTCAAGCCCCGACCCAAGGATTCCTCGCGGTCCTCTGGGAGGTTCTTTTTACGTCCTCGGTCTTGCTTTCCATCGACAGGTGGGGTATCTTGCTGGCCTGCATCGAGGTTGCCTCTGCCCTGATGCCGCTGATGGAGTGCTTCAACTGGCCGCTCCCGCCTGGCCTGGCCTCTGCGGACGGCGGCGCCGACGAGGATACGGCAGCCGCGTCCGGAGGCACGGAGCAGCTCTGCGCCTCCGTCGGCCTCCTCCGGGCGGCCCAGCTCCGCGTGCTGCGCAGCTGGAGCGAGGCGGCCTTCGTGCCCGCGCTGCTGCACTGCCTGTCCTGCGACGTCGTCTTCGGCGACTGTCCCGGCCAGTCTGGGCGCCAGTTCGTCGGCTTCTGGAGCCTGTCGCACGCCGACAGCGCCTGCACTTGCGACGGGGTGCCAGAGCTCGGGGACGTGGGGCCGCCGCCCGTGAGCGGTGCACAGCTGCTGGCGGGCGCGCTCCGCTGCCTGCACTCGCTGCTGAGCCTCGTGCTGCACCCCGCGGGCCCGTCTCCGCACTACGCGTCCCTGGCGCGGCACCTGCTGGAGGTCTCCACGGCGCGCGAGCCTACGGACTCCACGCCCGGGCTGCTGGCCGCTCGTGGCGGCGCGCCCTCCCAGGATGGCCGCCCGCCCCGCCGCGCCGACCTGGTGCAGTCGCTCTACGCCCACGCCTGCGGCGCCGCGCCGGACGCCGCGCGCTGGGCCGCGTGCTCGCTGACCGCGCTGTGCGCGCTGTGGCAGCGCGCGGACGCTGGCGCGCTCCCGAGCCCCGCGGCGCTCGCGGGCGCCGCCGCGCCCCGCCAAGCCGCGGCTCCGAGCGCCTCGGCGCCGCCCCGCAGGCCGCCGCTGCTGGCCCTGCTTGCAGTGCCATCTGCGGGCCGCTTCGGCGCGGCCGCGGACGCCGCCGCCGCGGGCGTCGCGGGCGCCGGCGCGCCGCAACCCTCGCCGCTGGCAGCCCGCCTGGCGCGCAGGGTGCTGGGCGTCGTGGGCGACACGCGCGGGGACGCTGCGCTACGCCGCGCGTTCGCGGGGCTCGCGCGCGCGGCGCTGGCCGGCGCAGGCGCGGGGCTGTTCCTGTGCGAGGCCGCCGAGCTGCTGCCCCAGGCCTTTTTTGGGGGTTTCCCCCAATCAGTGCTGGAGCTTAGGGATTTGTCTTCCTAAAGAATCGGGCCTGCGCGTCCGTCTGGCGGCTATGTTCTCGCCGTCGCCGCCCCGTTGCCACCTCGTCGCCGCCCATCGTCTGGGCCTGCGCGTCGGTCTGGCGAATCTGTACTCGCCGTCACCGCCCCGTCGCCGCCTCGACGCCGTCCGTCGGCCGGGTCTTGCGCGTCGATTTGGCGACTATATATACATATATGACATATATACAAGATTGCAGTGGCGCTTCGCGCCATGCACCTTGGTCCTTGAAGATTGGTATGCAGGCGGAAATGGCAGGAAGGTCAAGCGGACAATTTAGCGATAACTCCTTGCTGCCTTTTCTGGCATCGCCATTAAAATAATGTTGTTCGTTATCCTTCCTCCATGCTTGCTGTTCCTCATTCTCGCCATACCCTGCGCATTCTCCTCATCCTCCTCAGCTCTTTCTGCGGAGGCTCCTCCTTGGAGAGCCTCTGGGGGCCTCACCAAAGTTCTCAGCCTTTCTTAAAGCTTTCTGGAGGCCTCCTGGGCGTGTTCTGGGGGCCTCTGGGGCTTCCTAAGGCCAACCTGCCTCTAACCGCGGTCTCCCTGAACGCCCCGGTCACGATTCGGAATGCTTCGGAGGGTGTCTTGGGGCCATCTTGGGCCGCCATGGGGCTCTCTTAGGGCCATCTTGGACCCCTGTTGAGCCGTTTTGGGGAATTCTTGGACTGCCTGGAAACCCTTTCGGATGGTTGTGGGGCGATTTTGGAGCCTCCCAGGCGACTTCGGACGCCCAGAAGACCGCTGTCTTGGAGCGTCGGGAAGCCGAAAAGAGGAGAACCCCAAATTCACCAAGAACCTATATGCAATCAATTATTTTTCCCTCTCGGTGCCTTCTTGGGGGTGCTCTTGGAGGCCTCTTGGTACGTTTTGGAGCGATCTTTCGGGGTATGACGGCTTCTTGGAACGCTCTTGTGCTATCTTGGGGTTCTCTGGGACGTCTCCGATGACCCCCCTGATCGCCCTAGGTGTGCTGCGAAGGCTTGGCAAAACGCCCTGCGAGGCCCTGGGGCCGCTTCGAGGCCCGTCCGAAGGGTCCCAAAGCCCCAGATCCAAGGAGTCATTTTTTTTTTTGGGGGGGGGGGGGGTTCCCCCCCGCCCGGGCTTGTACAAATATAGGAAGAGGAATCTATAGATAGTGTATAATAATATAGTTATATCGTTATATAGTTATATATGTATATTCTCGCCGTCGCCGACCCGTCGCCGCCTCGCATAGAATGCACCACACATATTTTCATTTCCAGAAGGGTTTTGGCCCCAAGAGTTCTCGCTTCACCCTGGAATCGTACACTTTACATATGGTTCTGCCCCGTGGTGCATTCACATATGAAGTCATTCCTTCCCAGGGACTCCCCCTTATCGCCCCCTCATCCCTATCAAGTAAAACTATTCGCGCGCACTCGTTGATCGACAATGATCACTGTTCAAGAATCCCTTGCAAAACATTTGTCAACATTCACACGCGCGCGTCGTCTCGCGCGCACGTCGGAATCCTGAAACAGCCATGGGTTTCGTGATAATTTCAAGGTCCAGTTCCGCGAACACAAGGCTCAAGGCTCAAGGTTCTGGCAAGGCTCAAGGCCCAAGTAAGCAAATCACCGACTCCGAAACACGAATAGACGTGGTGGGAAAACTTATGGGTGGGGCCCGTAAGGCGCAGGGAGGGATCGGGAGCACTCTAGATGACAAGAGGGCCGGGGCACGGAGAGCGTGGCCGAGGTGAGCTCCCTCACGAAGTTAAACAACATGTGCGAAACGATCATGGAAACCCAAACCGAGATTGCCCAGGCGAAGAATGCTGCGCTGCAGGCAAATGCAACCGCAGAAGCAGCAATGACCGGCATGAAACAGATCAAAAAGTACATCGAGACAGTGAAGCTGGCCTTGAAGGAGCTACAGCAGGAGTTTGCAGCTTTCAAGGCTTCGGCTACGCCGGCATCGCCAGGAACACCATCACACTCACTCGTCAAAAGGAACGAAGAAGAAACATCTCGCACAGTTAGTTTTGGGAGTTTCCCTGAAGATGCGAAGTCGGCAGAATTTGTGACGTTCATGGGGGGCGTCTTGCGGAGGTGTAGGGTGACGTCGAGGAGTTTTTCGCGCACGGCAAGAAATTTGCTACCCGCGGAGGTGCCCAATTCACATCGTCATACACAATGTGGAAGTACATCTGGTGGGAAACGTGTTCACGATTTCAAAGGCCAAAGGGTGTATTGTAACGCCGATTTGAGGTTCAGGGACTCCACATCAGAGGAGGCCAAAAGGGAGAAAGCAGTTCGCAGGATGGTCCGTACCATAATCGAGAAGAGTGGAGGGGATGGGAAATCAATCAAACAACATATCGATACCGATTACAAGAGGGGAGTCGTGTGGTGGAAGGAGGAGCGCGTAGCCGAGTGGAAGGACGGAGGCATGAAGCTTTTGGGGGCGGCGGCGGGGTGGGAATATCATTTTCGAAAGCTTTGTGACCCGTGAGGGGCTGAAGGCAAAACCAATGAGGGTCGGTTATAGTACCAGTACAAGTACATTTTCGCACACAGTATCATCACAGAAGGTCAGTTTTGATTCCGTAGGACCCCTCGGCAGAGGAGGAGGGCGTGGAGTTTACAGAGACATCGATGGCGATCTGCTTGTAAGTCTACGCGTCCGCATTTTCTGGAGGGCCAGATATGGGCGCCGACGCTTGCAGTCACGAGTGTGCGATCAAAGTTTTCACATGGAATGCGTGCGGGATGGGATCAGATTCGGTAAAAAAGTCGATTGACATGCTAAGTGTAGGGCAGGAGGGATGGGATTGGGACGTATTTCTGGGCCGAGACTGCATGACACTGCTTTGCAGGAGCTCCGCGGAGGACGTCTATTTTACACAGTGGCTGCTGCAGACTGCTACCGGGGCACGGCCATACTGTTGAACAGGCGCTGGGCGAATGCCGGCGGGGAGCCGATATTCTCAAGCCCAAAAGGGCGCATTGCTATATTAGATCTTCAATTACGCGGCCGGGAGTGCAGATTCATCTCTGCACACTGCCCGCATGGAGGTGATGATGAAGAGAAGTATGAAGGGAGCCTTCCAGAAATTGAGGCTTACGTCAAACGTGGCCGCAGACAGCAACGTTCGATTTTTGTTGGGCACGATGCGAACGCTGTGATCGGCAGGCAAAGCACATGGGACGATCCGAAGCTGATTGGTAAATGGGGCTTGGGAGAAAGATGTGATAGGGGTGAGGTGTTTGTCGATTGGCTGCATGCGAACAAGCTGCTCGCAACGAACATGCTTATGCAGAAACAGTATTATGCCAGGTGGACGCACCAGAGGTGGGAGACAGGAAAAAGGCCGCAAATACATTTCATCTTGTGCGATAAGCGATGGCGCCTGCTATCGTCGACGCGGCGGTGCACGATGGCATCGATTTCGTGTCAGACCACAACTGATTGCACGATGGCATCGTTTCGATTGCCACGATGGCATCGGTTTGATTTCGACATTCAACTTCAAACAGGTCCAAAGGCCAGGGGAAAAACAGGGCTGGTAACGCTGCGAAACAAAGGGGGTTGAAACCGTTACTGGATGATAATGCAATGCTGTCAGACTATCATGTTGCACTTACAGAAAGTTTCGCCCAACAGAGGCCAGAGACAATGGAGGAACTCGAAAAGTTTGTCAATCAAGCAGCGTCCGACACAAATGCAGAAACATTTCGCGGATCGCATCATTTACAGCATGACAGTTTTGATGAGAGGCTCCGGGTGCTCATTGAGCAACGGAAGGCGTGCTCTTTGCCGGAGGAGCGCAAGCAGTTGTCTAAGCATACGAAGCCTTGTCTGTCTGGGGAAAAGGACGCACGCAGAGAAACCAGATGAGATCAGCTACTCCAGCGCAATGGAAGCATTAAGGAGTTAGGACAAATACTGGCGGCCCCAGCGAGACGGCAGAGAATTGTGGCCGCAAGTGGAAAAGACTGTATAATTTTCGCAACACCCATTGATCTTGCAAATGTTTTCGCTACGTTTTACGAGGATTTGTATGCCGCGTCTGGGGAGGAACGGGAGATTGCTGAACAGTGGGGCAGTACAGAATCTTGAGCCATCACCGTGAAGGAGCTTACGGACGTTCTCAAGAAAATAAAGAAAGGCAAAACGTGCGCAGACGATGGGGTCGCTGCCGACATGTTGCAGACAAGGCGCTAAGGTCTGCTCGAGTTAACGGCGGAAAGTTTAACACATATCGTCAATTACGAGCAAGCAGTGCCGAGGAGCTGGTTAACACATAATGTTGTCATCTTGTGCAAGGAGGGCGATGCCAGCCTTCCCCTAACATTACCGGCCGATGAGCATCCTGCTTGTGATGTATAACGTATGTTCTTCGGTGCTGGTCGGCAAAACGAAGGAGATCCTGGAGGCAAAACAACTGCCGGAGCAAGCAGGAGTCCGCTCTGGATATAGTTGTTCGGAGGTCGTACACACGCTCCGCGCCATCGCAGAGAACGCGGAATATTGGGGGGAACAAGTATGGATGGCTTCTCTAGACTTGGAAAAAGCGTTCCACCGAGTATTACACCCTGCAGTGTCCATGTCCTTGAAGAGGCCGGCGGGTGTGGATAGTGAAATCAGACACACACATTGAAACGGCCATGCGGCAGTATACAAGGCCGCGTGCAAGTTGATGCGATCAGCTCAAGCAGAACGTTCCCAATCAAGAGAGGGGTCCGGCGAGGCGACCCGATTTCCCCGCTGCTGTCCAACAATGGCACGCGGCTGGTGTTTCGAGAATTGCGAGATAAATGGGGACATAGATCGTTCGGCACAGTCGTGGGGGCCCTCCAGGACGGGAGCGGCCGCGTCGCTCATGTGATGTTTGCTGACGACGCAACTATGATTGCAAAGTCTGCCGAGGCATTGCAAGGAATGCTCGACGGCGCAATTGCCGCATTGGGCGCCCGCGGCCTGCGTTTGAATCCAATCAAATTTTCCATTCGACGCAATAGTGGAGACCCGAGACAAAGCTTGGAAGTGCAGGGGCAGATGTTCTCTATAGTCCCGCCTTCTGTTGGGTTCAAAACTTTGGGCGCTCAATTCGCGCTGCCAGGCTGGGCGAGCAAAGAAATCTCAGCTCGCATCAAAACAGGGCGGGCAAAGTAGGGCGGGCAAAGTTTCACCAGTTATGGCCGCTGCTCAATCCAAGGCGGGGGGTGCTGGAGAATCCTCTTCGTCTCATTGACGCCTGCGTCTCTCGGGGCGCCCTCTGGCGCTGCGAGTCGTGACTCCCCGCGCTGAAACAAGGGTGGGAGCTGCAATCAGTGCAGACCTACATGTTGCGGAGAGTCGTTGGAGTCAGACGGCGCCCGGAAGAGGATTAGGCTGCGTGGGTGCATAGTTCGTTCCACAGGGTCCGCAAGAGCGGGGGCAGCGCGACGCAGCGTCGAGATGTGGGAGCGCGTGCGCTTGCAATCCAAGTGGCAGCGGGCCAGTCATATCGCGAGAATGGGGAATCACAGGTTGCGCAAGAAGTCCGTCGCGTGGAAAGATGCGGAATGACGCGTGCTGCAAGGCCTGGTCGGCAATGGGCCCAAGTGACCACGTCGCGCACGCTGGCTCCGATGGGAAGATGAACTTTGCAATTTTCACATGTTCTGGAAGGGCCGAGCCCAGGGCAGGTGCATGTGTATGGCAGCAGCGTCGCAATTTGCATTGGAACTCGAGAGGTTGCACCGCCGCGTGCAACGCATATACCGAGTGACAGCGCGAGACTTGGGGGCGCCCTGGGGCAGTAGTTGTGTGAATGTGAGAAATTTAATAATATCAAGAAGCATGGGTGCTGCGTATGCGAGAAGTGGGCGCAGTGGCTGGCGCGCGCCAAGGACGCGCCACGTCGCGATCCCCCCTCTTCGGAGTTCCGCGCAAGGGGGGCAGTATATCCCTAGCGCAAATAAACAGCCAGTGGCTTCCCAGCCGAAGTTAGCAAACCATATGTGAGCGCTCTTGCGATTTCGTAGGGCAAGCTTCATTGTTTTCCGAGTCATCGTCAACTGCGACCGCGCTGGCCTCTCGCGGGCGCATGCCGACGCCATTGGAACACCCAGGCGCGCTTGCTGGGTGGGGCGCGATCCTTGTCAGACAATCCCACGCGGGCCACTCGCGCCCGTCGGCGCCGCGCGCGCGTCGAAATCCCCCATGCAATCTTAATCGCCGACGCGTGGACATTATCATCGTCACGAGCGCGGTCAGCGTCGGCGCCGTCATTGGCTTCGTCGCCGTCATCGTCACCATCGTCGCCAGCTTCGCCATTCTCATCATTGCGTCTGCCGTTGTCGACGTCGCCCTGATACCGCGCCCGCCCGAGTCATCGACTCGCGCCGTGGTGCCCGCGAGTCAACCCGGCCTGCGCTTCGCGCCGGGGAGATATCTGCAGCCAGTGCCACAGCGGCCGCGTTGGTCGCGCCAAACTAGCCGGTCGCTCTGCGCGCGAGCTTGCGCGTGCTAGCGCTAGCGCGGTTGCAGTGATGCGCCGCCCAGCGCCGGGCAGTCGCCCCAATCGCCGCCACATAGGTTTTGCAAACTCAGGCGCGGGTGGGCGGGCGGGGGGATTGCGCGCGCAGTGGCGTGATATTTCGGGGCGAACAGCAGCGCCTGCACCGTGCAACCGCGTAGATGCGCCGCGTGGACTGCGCGGCGTAGATCGCGCGACATAGACAGCGCCGCATTGATCGCACCGCGCAGCTTGCGCACTTAGACTTGCCCCGCCCGCGGCGAAATTCTCCAGCGCGGGCCCCAGTCAGTCGGTTCTTAGCAACAGGTTTGCGATCCACGTTGTGCGATCTACGGTGTGCAACCCATGCTGTGCAATCTACGCGGTTCAATGAATGCGGTGCAATATAATGTTGTGCACCTTATTGGATGTAGCCGCTTTCGCGCAACGCCCGCGGTTCAATCTGCGCGGTTCAATATGGGTTGTCCACGTTATGTAGTGCAGTCTAGGTGCTGCACGTTGTGCAATATTTGTGGTGTAATCCGCGGTCTGCAATCTACGCGATGCATTGTATGCTGTGCAGTTTGATGTCGTGCAAGAGGTTGAGCAGTTCATATTTTGCAAATTAAGACTTCAAACTTGTAGGGGCAAGCTATAGTTTGCTGTCTGAGTTGTGGACAATATGTGGTTCGGCCTGCGTCGCGCATTCGACGTGGTGCACTGCATAGAGGTTGCGCAGTGCATGCGTTGGCAATGTAAGTTGTGCGCTCTCTTGGTTTGCCACGCATGTGACGCGCCATCCATGTGGTGCAACTTATGCTGTGCAGCATTTGTCGTGCTACTTATGCGGTGCAGGCCGCGCGGTGCAATCGTGGGCGGCGGCGGGGCGGCGACGGATCGGCGGCGGCGCCCGCGCGGGCGCCGGGCAAGGTGCGATCTGCTACGACTCGTTTGCCATGCTGCGACATGTGCAACGGATCTAGATCTATCCAGACTGACATGCTACATCAAACGACACTTCACTACCGCATGTTTTCATGGGTTGGATATGATTTATCAGTTGTTCGAACTCGGCAGTTTTATGGCGCCGATCTGGCAAGTGACGTCCGTGCCCATAGGAGTGCCAGTGCCAGCCGCCAGATCATCTGGGGCCAAGCGCGAGGGCCAATCAGAGCATGGTTTCCAGAAGACATACTTGCGGTGCGTTGGAAATGGAAATTGTGGATGCAGATTTGGCTCTACGCACGGAACTTTTGGCGTTCATGCCTGTGCGGGCCATGTTGTTACAGCGGGCGCCGCTATGTTTTCTCCTGGGCGACAGCCAGGCGGTTCGCAAAGTGGTCAAAGCGGGGAGCTCCCAGGAAGGATCATCCTTCTTTACCTCGTCAACGTTGTGTATCCCAAAATTGTGGGAAATGCGGATTTCTCAAGACTACCTCGCTTCGACGTTCGCTGACGGACTTCCCCTGCCGCCCGAGGGGGCTCTCAAACCAGCTGTCGGTCCGAGGCCCATTTGCCCGGCAGGGATGCGAACGAGCTTAAGCGTTTCGGAACAAGGCGAACCAGTCATAGGCAATTTAGCTATTTCGAATGGCTCTGCGGCTACGAAGGCCCGCGCTGCTGCTCGCAGCTTAGCTGCGGGCGCAGCGAAGGCCGACGTGATCGCAGCTCAGCTGCGAGCGCAGTGAGCCAATGCAATGGTTTCGAGATAAGCTCCAACAAGCAAAATTCTAGACGCATTGCGTAGCTTCACCAGGTCATCCAGAGACGATGCCCAGATGAATTGCCTCGATCCGTGGAGGCCACTTGGAACGTCTCGGGGGCCTTTTGGCGGCCCTGGGCGCCTCTT